ATTTTTGTTTCTAAAATCAACGGTTACATATTTTTACATGCTAATATTTTAAAAAACTAACATTCATCTTTTAATTTTTTTTTTAAATCATTCTCATGTTGTCAAATTATATTTAATGTTTAGTAAAAAAACCACTATGAAAAGTTCAATCTAAAATAAAAAAGGTCAGGCCATAGTAAATTGTTCTCCTTGCTAACTATGAAAAAAATATTATGAAACTAATAAATTATATGTTGTATGAAAAATGTATTAATTTTTTTTGTTTATGAAAAGTTGTTCATATTAATCTTTTAATATTTCGATATTGAATTCAGTTTTTATTCAAAATTCAAAGTGAAGAAAATGATGATTAAATTGGGGGTTCAATCTTCTATGAAAAGAATGTCAATTTTTTATAATAGATTATGCACTCCCGGATATTAAATTATTATACATTTGATTTGACATGTTTACGTACGTTAAATAATAAAATGATAAATTTATGGTTTGGATATTTCGGATACTCGTTTGGTTTTTTAATAGGAACCAGAGCCAAATCGATAACTGTGAGTAGAAGAATAAAATATTCAGTGGAGTAAAACAACCATACCCAATGTTTTTAAAACCGGACTTGACCGAAGGTCGAACCGGATTCAACCGTGAACCGGGGACATGGTCGAGTTGGGGCAATACTAAAACCCGACATAGTTAAACTAGTTGTAAAACTTGATTGAACTGGCAAAAATCCGGAAACCAGCGACCAAATCGAATCGTATTGAACTAAGTTAACTCTTAAAAGTGAAATTTTCTATTTTATTAATTAATTTTTTATTATTTTTTTTTGAAAAAAATCATATAATATTTTTATGACTTTTAAAACTAAGAACGTTTATACTTCTACTTTTAATGGACAATGAAAATAAAATGTTCCTATATACATTAGTTTTCTTTTAATCTAAACTACTAAAGTATTTTTTTTCAACACTACAATTATACCAATTGTTATAATCGTTGAAATGTTTTGCAATAAAACGTTTTTTTTTATATATTTGAGGGTTATGTATGTATTTATATAACTCATGACTCAAAAAACTTTTTCGGTTCGTTTGTCAGTCTGATTTTAAGAACATTGACTAACTAAATCCAATCCGAACTGGATTTACCAGTTAGGTTCCAGATTCAGATTTTGGATCCGAGTTTTTTTGTTTTGGACTAAATGCTACAAAAGTCATAACACATAAATTGATTTTTCAAAACGTCTGTGCTTTTATTGATAAACCAATCAAAATAGGGATAAGTCACTGAATACAGAAATCCAAACCAAACAGAGTAAAGCAAACACATAAATTAATGAAAACACGTTAAGAACACGTGGCAGAATAAGGAAAAAGACCAAAAAGTAAAAACGTTCTTCCAAGTTAATGATGTGAGGTTTAGCTTGCTCGAGGCC